CCGCCCGCCTACGCCGCGCCGCCGCCCGTCAGGGCGCGCGCGGGGGTCGGGCGGCTGGTCGTGCAGTCGCTGGGCGGCCGCGCGTGGGGCCCGGCGAGCCGCTTGCCCTGGTCGGAAGGAGGCGGCGGCGGCGGCGGCGGCGGCACCTGCAGCGCGGGCGAGGGCGCCACGGACGACGAGCGCGAGGCGGAGCTGCTGCGGGCGGTTGCGCGGCTGCGGCTGGCGCTCCAGGACACCAGCTGCGCGGCCCTCGTCACCTGCCCAAGCGGTGAGGCGCCCTGGGCATGATGGTGCTGCGTTGCCCTCACCGCGCCACAGGGTTCATGAAAAACAAAGGCCTGCATAACAGCTCTTATTTGAATCGCTGACGTTTTGGTGTCGGCCGCCCTGCACGTCGTGTGCGCATTCCGCAGGCCTCCTGTCGGAGGGGTGCGCGGCGCGGCTGGCGCACCTGTGCGACGCCGTGCTGTCGCTGGAGCCGCTGGCGGACGACTCTGACGTGTACAGGCTGGTGCCAGACCAGGCCAGGTGGGTGGGATAGATTACGAGGGTACGCTTCAGTTTGGGGCTGCCCACCCCGCTGCTCCAGGGCTGGGGCTCAGACACCGTTGTTCTGGTTGATCCCATTCTGGGTTCTCCTTTCAGACGGGCGGCGATGGGACATGGGATTCAGCATTGAATGCGAGGGGCCCACATCATCAGGCTATCCACCCTCACACAACGTGGGCCATGCGGATTGCCCCCCCCCCCCCGTGTGCTGCAGCGCCATCGCGCTGCTGCACGTGCGCCGGCTGCCCGGCAACAGCCTGTGGCGGCCTAGGCCGGTGGGGGAGCCGCTGTTTGTTGTCCGCGGCAGCCGGCGGCGCGGCCTGGCGCTCACCGCCTTCGAGGTCGACCCGGATGCTGCAGAGGGCCGCGAAAACGGCGGCGGCGGCGGCGGCGGCAGCGGCACGGGCGGCGGCAAGCCGGCGGCGGCGATGCTGTGCGCGGGGCCGGGGGGCGCAGGCAAGGCCTTGGATTTCTGAGGGGCGCGCGTGGCGCCCTTTTAAAGCAGTAAGCTGACCTTGTGTCCTCATCCCGTGACCCCAGCGCTTCAATGGTTTCGGTCGGTGGAATGTTCTGTGTGTTACAGGGGCGGCGGGGGTTGGCAGGGGGTGGGAGGGGCTGGCAGGGGTCTGATCTGCTTTCGTGTGGCAGAACTTTGTGATGGAGGGTGGGCATGGTAGATTGAGCTCGCGTCTTCGCTGTCCCTGAGATCATTGGAGACCAGCCCCCAGAGTTCGGGAGGCGCGTCCGCGCGTGGTGGTGCCGGGCCACCGCCGGTGCCTGCGCTGCCGTCGCGGTGGGACGTCGCGCGTGCTGAGGGCTGCGACGCGACCCTGGGCCATCGCCTGAGTGCGGCGTCTGATGGCGCGCCGCACACGGCGTCGCCGCCTGCTCGCGGTGCGGCTGGCGCAAGCGCGGCCGCTCGGGCGATGTCTGCTGCGGCGGCCCTGTTGCGTGACCATGGCCGCGTCACTGCCGCCCAGTCCCCGGGGGCTCTGCCATCAGCTCGCGCAGGTGTCAGCGCCGCTGCCAGATCGGCGCTGCCCGCGGTCGGCAGTGGCGCTCTTGGTTCTGGCAATGTGATGGCGATGTTGCAGCGGGTGCGTGGCTGAAGGGCTCACGGACCTGTGCCACGCCATTGTGTGTAGCTGGGCGTGGTGGGGCTCGCGGCAGCGCCGTTCTGGCCGCGTCCTCCGCGGCCTCAGTGGCTGCTGGTGTGGCACTGGCTGGTGCTCAGGCGGCGGCCGGCGGCGGTCGTTCAGGCCGCGGGCTTGGCTGAGACCCTGGAGGATGCGGCCGAGGATGGCAGCGGTTCCGATGGCGGCGCGCAGATGACAGACCTTGACAGCCTGCTTGAGGCGCACCCCGCCTGAGCTACGCTGGCGGGTGCGCAGGAGGGCATGGAGCGCGTGCTTTGTGTTGCGGCGCCGCTGCCGGCTGCCGCTGGCGGGGCGCATGGCGGCGCCGGGGCCTTCTCGGCCAATGCGCTGCTGCAGCCGTGCAACGAGCTGCTGCTGGGGCGGGATGACGCCCGCCCCGTGCTTCAGCAGCTGCTGCAGTCTGCGGCGCCTGTGCAAGAGCGGGCGCTCAGGGAGGCGGCGCGCTCTAAGCCAGCGCCGCGGCCGCGCCGTGGTCCGTTGCTACGCAATTTCGCCGGGGCTGATGTCGACCAGACGGCCGTGGACGCGCAGCTTGCGGCTGTGAGGCGCGCCACCATGAGCAAGACGGATCTCAAGGCGGCGCATGTGACTGACAGGTGCGCACCTGCGTTTCACGGTCCTTTGGTCTCTGTCGTGACGGGTGTCGGACGCGGCTGGGTCGTGTGCAGGGGCACTTTATTGCCTGGGCTTGAGTGTTGTTGCGCGTGCCCAACACCCCTTCACAGGCTGATTATACCTACCAAGGTAGCAAGGTGACAGGCGGGGCGCAGTCGGGGATGGCTTGTTCAACCAGTGGCATGGCTTTCAAAGCCATGCGGCTGACGTTCAGCCGCTTATTCGTGCGGCGCTTGCCCTGGATGGCGCCGGCTACGAGCGTGTCGAGGCTCTTACTGCTGATTCCAGGTGTGTTGTGTTCGCTTCTCTCTAGCAGGCGGGATGCTTGCTGTTGTGGTATTGCTGTCTTGTTAGTGCTTGCTGCATTGCCATATTGCCAAGCTGTGCATTGAGACTAAGCTGATGTGGCTTGTCGCACCCGTGCTGCAGGCCTGGATTGGCGGCCATGGGCCGCCAGCTGGCTCAAGCAGCGCCACTGGTGGCCGAGTCACCGCGCCGCATGGTGGGTGCCCAGCTGTCGTGCTGAGCTCACCGCCGGCGTTGCGGCAACGTGGTGGTGGTGCCGCAGCTGGAGGCGCGCTCGCTATCGGTTGGCAGCCACGGCCAACTGAACCTCAGTTACACAACGTTGGTGCTTCACTGCACACTCCCATGAGCCTGGATGGCTCCAAGAGCGGGCGACTGCGGGACGCTGTAACACCCCTTATTCCAATCCTCATCTATGGCAGCAAGCGCCCGCCCAGCCCTGTGCAGACGAGCAGCAAGCGCCGTGCAGCGGGCAGCAGCAGGTCTGATAATGCTGCTGAATGGGAGCAGCTGCTTGAGCAATGTGGCATATGCTGACGGCCTGCGTGCTGCGGGGGTGGCCTCGGCGCGCAGCATTGCCTTCCTGGAAGCGGCAGATGCAGAGCTGCTGCCGCAAAAGGCCGGCATCCCGCAGATTATGGCGAGAAACGTGGCGCGAAACGGCCAGCGCATCCCACTTCCCGTTGCTGAAACAAGCGGCGGCGCGGCGCCTGTCAGTTTGCCGTGCACAGACACTGCAAGGCCCCCATGCCACTGAAGCCGGAACAGGGGCCCGCATGCTGCCAACGTTTCACTTGCCCGCATCGATCTTCTGGAGGATCTCCTTCACATCACGCTTCATATCCTTCGCATCACGCTTCATATCCTGCACATCACGCTTCAGAATTTCAAGGTCCTTGCTGATCGTCTTCTCCCCAGCCTCGAGCTTGACCTGGACACGCTCCATCTTCATAGCCAGAGTGTCCTGCATAGATGTCGTCGGGTCCTGCAGAGTCTCCTGCACCGATGATGATGTCATCATGTCGTGCAGGCCGTGGGGGTACGAGTTTGGATGGGTCTTGAGTGGGCTGGGTTGAGTTGCAGCTCGCTGCAAGCTCCAGGTGCCAAGGTCGATGTTGGCTCGTTTGACCCCCGATTGTGTAACCCCACGGCTCTTTCTGCTGATGTGCGCGAGTTGACTACACTTGTGGGGTTCCAGGCGTCGCTGGTCCTGTTCGCGTGGTGCATCACACTCCAGGTCCCCCGGCCGCGCCCAGTTCAACACACCTTGAGAGTGTTCATCTGGGAACGCTGGTCATACACAACCCAGGCTGCTGCTACAGTTGCGATGCCGATCGCTGGGCCGCGAGTAATGAAGGCCGACGCCTTGTCTGTCAGCACGGCCAGCCACGGAGCCTGGCGCACCCTGTCGACAACCTCGGTAGCAAAGCGCCGGAACGCCATCCTACGTCACCTGCACAGAACCAGTATCATCTGATTGAACCATGCACCACAAGCGTTCATGTTTATTGCATATCTCACTGCCTGGCGTGCGCACTGAGTTCTGTGCGCTTCGGTTATTTTCCATGTAACATCGAGTTGGATAGAAGAACGCTTGGGTCGCGATCACCAAAAACGCTGCATGCGATGCGACACGAGCTGCGCAGCTAAGTTGCGTATGTGAGGTGCGTGCGTTTGTGAATAGCCAGTACTGTGTTTTATTCAGCAAAACGACCGATGCGGATGAGCGTACACCCCTAGCAAACTCAACAGCGCAGGGAAACACACGGACAAACGTTTAGTCAACAGCGGTTGTGGTAAAGGAAGATGGGCAGGTTTAGGCCACCTGTCAGGCCATCTACTGGGACAGACTGCTTAGCATCCCCTGCATCCGGGGGGGGGCGCGTGGGCGCTGGAAAAAACGTTGCTGCCACACTTGCCTATGACAAGAAGCAGTACCTCTCCCATACCCTAATAGGTAGACTGCACAGCTCATGTTCGCTCCAGCTCTGAACCCGGGCACTGCTGTAACCCAGATGCCCCTCAGCTGCCCTGCACCAAAGCTTTTTGCAGCCAGCTTTTTGCAACAACTCTACCACTCAACGATTGTGCGTGCTTTCGCAGGATGCCAATTTATCTTTGGGGGCCTGCATGTGCCTCCACCGCGGCCGCCGCTGCTCAGACTGCTGCGACTGCTGCAGGGGGCCACTGAGGGGCTACAGTACCAACTTGTGTCTCTCCACCACAACTGCGCTCGGCTCGCGCCGCCAGGCACGCCCTGGCGGCCAGCGCGCTAGGCGGCTATCATCCAATGCCCTCCAATGCCCTCCAATGCCCTCCAAGCGCTCCTGCCTGCTCTGTGCCAAGGCGGGCGGCGTCTCTGGCTGCTGGATACCCTGGCATCACAAACGAGAGAGGGTGGGTGTTGGTTCAGCTCTGCTGGTGTGGATGCTTGCCGCTTGTGTTGGTACCCATCCTTGGCGCTTGGTGTGCCCTGTCCTTTTTTGCTGCAGTGGCTGTGGGCCGCCCGTTATGCGGCCCTGATGGCCCCGTCCGCCCCCTTCCTCCCCAGGCTGCCGCGCTGGTGCCATCTTTGAGGCAGTGCTGCGCTCCTTCGTGCAGGACGGGCGTGTTGACGCCAGCTTTCTGCGTGAGGCCGAGGCTCAGTGCGGTTGGGCGCCCAATTCGGGTCCGCTGGCTTACTGCATGCAAGGGCATGCGCATCTACTCACCACGGCGCGCCATGCGGTGGCCATGGCGCCACAGCAGAGCGTATCTGTGGCGGCCGCACTCGTGCTGCAGGGCTTGATGGGCGGTGGCGAGGGCAGTGGTGGCAGCGGCGGCGGCAGCGGCAGGAGTAGCAGCGCAGGTGACGGGGCGCCCGGCAACGCTGCGCCTGGCTCAGAAACCGGGTGCGGTGTCGCTGCGCTCTCGGAGCGGGACGGGAGGCCTGGGCTGCTGCGCTCCTCCAGCAGCTGTGTGGCCGCCAAGAGAAGATGACGTATGAGATGGCAGTAAGGACAATGTCTGAAGACTGTAAGACACTGTGCCTGCTCCTTATGCTTGATTCTGCCCCTGCGCTGCCGCTGCCAGTTGTGCGGCTGGCATCCACGGGTGCGCTCGCGCGGAGCGTGCAGGCGCGCCGCACGCTGGAGGCGCAGTACGGCCTGTCAAACCTGTCGCGTACAGCGGCCGCGCAGTGGCTGGAGTGTGTGGATACTGCTGCAGGCCGTGACGCCCTTGCTCAGGCGCACGCAAGTGCTGAGGCGGCGACTCAGCATGCGCTCCAGCAGGGTGATGCTCTGTGGCGCAACCATGGGCAACCCCATGCCGCGGTGTGCGCGGCGATGTCAGCAGGGCCAGCACGTGACAGCCTGGTTGCTCTGCACCTCCCTTTCTTGGCTGGCCCGCCTGCGTCGCCCCTCGCAGCTGCTGCCCATGAGGCCGCGCCTGAACCGTTGCGTGGCGACCCCGAGCCCTTGCAGCTGCCGCCGGGGCTTGTTGAGCTGTTGCAGCGGGCGACTGGCTTGCAGCGCTCTGGTTGTGGCGGGTCCCGCCCCCAGGGGTGTAGCGGCGGTCGCGCTCGTCGATGCAGCGGTGCCAGGTACGAGGGCGCCCGGGGCAGCCGCGTGCAGGTTTTTGAGTGCGCTTGCAGCAGCACTAGGCTGAACGCGGTTGCATGGCCCTCAGACGCGCCGGCTGCTCATGGCGGCCTGGATGCCTGTACTGGCTGCAGAGCTGGCGCATGCCCGGCTGCACCTGGGCCTGATTGGTGGGGGCTTTGCTGATTGTGACGCAGCTGTTGCGCTGCGCGGCTGTGCGCTCGCTGCTGCTGTTTGCTGCTCGCCTGCATGGCAGAAGGGCTGGCAGCTGCACCCGAGTGCGTGCAAGGCGCAGCTGTGGCGGCCAGCAGACGCGGCAACTGCACCTGGACTGCGCGTCAGCTGTGTTTGTGGCAGTGGAGATGGAGCAGCTGCTGATGCGCGCAAGTGGTACGAACAGTGTGCAGGGCGCTCAGCAGTAGGTCGTGGCGGCACCGGAGCAGCATCTGAAGAGCGACCCAGGCGTGCAGCAGCGGATGAAAGCAGCCGTCACTTTTGCTGACCAGCGCTACACTTGCACGTGAAACATGCTGACAGAGAGCAGCATGCGACAGCGGCTGTCAAGGCCCAGCTCCATGCCCTGTGTCGCACACGAAATTCTCAACACGCACGCGTGGCGCCCACGTCCGGCCTCTTGCTATGGCCCCCTGCCCCATTTTTACACCCGCTGTCACACCCGCATTACACCGCTTCGTCACTGGACCCTCGCCAGTGTAACCAGGCACCCTCCTGCAAATAGTACTGTCTTAGTTACACCCCGTGAGGACGAGTGACACGAAAGCCGGGCCAGCCCAGGTGGTGCTGCACTGGTGCCAAAGGGTTCAGGCACCTCTGCACGGCGCATCACCTACAGCTATGCTGTACACCGCCACCCAGAACCTCAGTCGCAGAGCTGCGCAGGCGGCGAAGGGCGCCCGCACAGCGTGCATGTGTCAGCAGCACGAGCTGCACTGCCTGACGGAGCTCGGCACTCTCAGGCAAAGGCCCGTGAGATGTGGACCTGCTCTGTACTAAGATCCCTGCACTTTGCCCACAGCCTCAACGCTTGCCTAATCCCAGCCAGCCAAGCCCTCCCGCGCACCGCACCGCAGCCACAGGGCTGCAAAACGACACGCGTAGCCCCCACACACGGCATGTGCATGGGGCGCAAGTGAGTAAGCGAGCCCCGTTGCGGAGCGCTGGACCCACCGAATCGAGGCGGGCCTCTCACGCGGGCTGCGTCACGAACACACGAACGCTTCAGAAATGTGCTGTGGACCACAGCTTGAAAATAATCGACTCGTGCACTCTCACGCCCGAAACCCAACGCACACACCCCACCCCAAAAACCTAGCGCAAGCAATGCCGCAAAGGACCTGCGACTTGCAGGGGGCGACGCGCGCGCGCCGCGGGCGTCCGCCTCCCGTCTCGCTCACGGCCGCGGTGGCACCGTGGCCAAGGGCAGCGCCGCGCGCGCGGGCTCAGCCTGGGCGGGGGATGGCAGGTGCAGGGGCTCCTCCACCTTCATCTGCGCAGTGCAGGGGAGGGTTCCGGGAGGATTGGAAACGGGCGCGTGCGTGAAACAGGGGTGTCATGGGTGAGCAGGTGCGCGTGGGGCCGCCAGATTGGTTGAGCAGGCGGCGGCAAGCAAGGGCACACCCGTCAGAAGGGCCGCTGGGCTCCAGAGCAGCAACCCCGGCTGAAATCAGCCATGGCCCGCGCAGGCGCGCACCACCATGTCGCTGAAGGCGAGGGCAAGCAGCGGCCGGCCCCCTAGCAGCGCGTCTAGGACCTCGCCGCCACCGCCGCCGCTGCCGCCGCTGCGCCGCTGCTCTCGTCGGCCCTGCCACCACCAGCCGCGCTGCTGGGCTTCCTGCTTCCCCTCCTGCTGCTGCTGCTGCTGCTGCTGCCGCTGGGCAGCCGCCTGCTGCGAGTCGCTGTGGTGCAGCTCGATTGCGATGGGCGTGACGGGCATGATGCTGGTCTGCAGGTCGCACGAGTACTGCAGCAGGGACGGGTGCTCGGCCGTGCCGCCGCTGCGGGGCAGCGAGCGCAGCATCAAAGAGCGGGCGAGCGTGAGTTGTCAGGCGCAACTGGGATGGGCTTAGGCCTACAGCTCGGCTGTCAACCCGCGTTATAGTTGCACACGCTTTCACCATCGTGAGATCAAACTCTTGCAAACTAAACACCCTGATAGCTTTTGAATTCCCCCATTATAATCCTTCTGCACACAATCGACTGTGCAAGCAGGTGCGCCGCCCTCGATCCCCTCACCTGAAACTGGGCAGCGACAGCCGCATGCGCGGCCCCAGGAAGCCCTCCGTCCGCAGCGGGGGCAGCTTGAACGTCGCCACCGGCGCCGCCAGCGCGCGCCGCCCGCGCTCCGCGCTCCGCATCTCCACCACATCCATGAAGCCGCCCGGAAGCTTCAGCCCCGCCGCAGGGGCCGCCGCAGCCGCCGCGGCCGCGGCGACCGCCTTGTCCTGCTGCTGCTGCTCCTGGCCCTTGCGCCACCAGCTCAGCGGGTCGCGGCCGCGCGCGCACCGCGCGTCGGTGCAGGCGGACGCGACGGGCTGGAAGGAGGCGAGGCGCGAGGGCAGGCCGACGCTGCGCAGCCCGTGGTCGCGGGCCTCTCGGTCGCTGACAAAGACGCGACCGGCCCAGGCGCAGGACGTGGGGGGGTTCCACACCAGGCCAGCCATCACGACGCACTGCGATGCGTGTGGGCGCGCGGCAGCGCTCAGTGTTACGGCGACTTGGGGGCCTTTGATTACGCACCTTCGTGTACGGCGCACGCTAAAGATGCTAGTCAACGCAGCCATTGTTTTGGAACCCCGGATCGGCGATTCAAGGGCTGCGTTCGCGACGGTGGCGGGTCGGTGTCGTGCGGACGCGGCAGGGTCTGCATGGGTCCGGCTCAGAGCCAGCACGCTCACCTCATCAAACACGCCGACTGGGCTGTCGTCATAACGCGCCAGGTACACGCCACCCAGCGTCCAGCTGCAGTGGCGTGGGG